TTTGAAAGAAATCAAAAAGCACTAATTAAAAAAACACGTTTGTTGTATGGCAGGTCCTCTTAAATATTTTTTTATTATTATTTGGTGCTAAAGCGCTGACAGAAATACATCATCTGTGAATATTTTAACTATCTATCACTGTTTCATGAGATACAACAGTCTGGTGTCAGACAGACAGCGGAATCTTAGTAAAAAGGTTCCGTTTTTACCCTTTGGGTACGGAATCCTTAAACCTTATTTAATATTAGGGTGCTTGGCATGTGAATCGCGATAAAAAACAACATTATTTTTGTTATTTATTTAAATAAAATGTCATTCAATATTTTGGGAATCTATCTTCGTCTTCTTATTTATTGTATAAATAATCGTAGACACCATCTGTGTTTCCCAAGGCAAATGAAATTTTCTTTTGAATAAAATCAATTTGCCAACATTTTTTTTCTAATGGTAGTTGTAGGTAGTTCTACATTTCAATCAAAAACATGACTTATGCCGCTAAAACTAAAAACGTTTCAATAGTAACGTTAACTGACGTTATACATACGAATACTATAAATTTTCTCGCCGGGCCCTGTCTCACGTCACTATGACGGATTATGACGAATATCATACACTTTGTATAGCTCTTCGAGTCCTGTCGAAGTTGATTGATGATCCCAAGAACGGGTTAAGGCGTCGAAGAATGAAAATGCTTTATTGCACATTTGGGTTTCATTTTTGTTGCCCAAAAAGACATCGCTATTTAGTTTTACATTTGGATTAACCTATAGTTTTAAGGTTATAACATTGTCTAGTGATTTTCAGTATATCCTAGCTAAAATAGACTCCAAAATTATGTACATAGGGTACGCTCACTCATTACGGGGATGTTTAACACGTCGAGCTTTTAGCGTTTATATTTGCATTTGTTTATTGAAAAGAACATTGGAATAATTAAAAAGACTAACAATATCTTACGAGAATGGTTTGAAATGTTCTCGGCCTGACCAAGATTTGAGAGTATTCTTATCATTCGACAGCTCGATTCTTTATTTAATCATATGTCAAGTGCCATTGTATTGAGACAAGGGGAGAATATGTAGAAAAATAAAATATGTTATTATTTTTATTTTCTTTGTTTTTTTAGACTTTTTTTCAAACCACCCTCATATGTGAAATTGACAATAAAGCTTGCCTATCTGCTTGCCTTTAATTATGTAGCCAAAATGGAGGTATTATGGAAATTTGACAAGGATCCGAAACCTGGAATCAAACCCGGGTCTCCAGAGTACGCGATGGCTTGAAAGCGTTTTACAATTAAATTATTAAAATGATACGTAGTTGTAGTTGGTTTTTTAATTATGTTATTATTATTATTACTATTCATAATGTCATTGTTTTGTGTTAGGGTAAATTTTGGAGATGAGAAACTTCTTGAATGGCGGCAGAAGAGCGTTATTAGTTGTAAATAAAAAAATATTATCAGTAGAAGTAGAGGGGCGCGGCTCAGGGCAAAACTTCTTCGTTTGTGGCTCCAAATTTATTGCCTGAGTTATTTTGGCACTTATATTTGCTTTGTTTTGGATGGAATCTTCTACATAAGATTCTGCTACTGCGTTAGAACGCCACCCACCATGCCGCTTTAATGTCAATATATCAGCTCCCGAATCAGCAAGTAATGTAGCTGACGTTCTTCTGAAACTGTGCCCTGTATAACAATCAGCATCCAGCAATCCTAAAAACTTGGCGACTTCCTTTGGCATGGCACCGAATTTATTTATGCCAATAGGTTGTGCAGTACATTTACCCTTTTGGTAATTCTGAAAGAAATGATTATTTTTTGCCTTAGTCGTACACAGAGCTTCATATATTTTGACCACGTCATAAAATGGGCCGTCGATAATAAAAGATCGGGGTATTTTGTTTTTAGTGTTTGGGATTTTTACTAAAAGAATTTTGCCTTGATTTTCAATGTCATTTGTGATAATATTGTGAAGCTCTTGCCATCTACATGCACCATTAATAGCAAATAATAACGCAACCTGAAATGAAATAAAAATGTGTTAGATAAGGTATAGGTACTTAGCTTACAGACGGTCGTTAAAAAATATGTAAAAGAGTATGTATAGTAGGTAGATCAATACATAAAATATGGAGGCAAACTGACCTTTGTAGCCAGGTATTGGCTATCTGGAGCATCTCTTAGAAACTTTTTGACGTCATTTGATGACAGTACCTTAAATTTTTTCTTTATAAAACCATCAGAGCGTCTCATAAAAATGCAATGAGATTAGAATATAAATTAATATCGACACCATTTTACATCTTGAGGGTACTTTTCAGCATAGAATCCACAACGAGCTAGGCTTATACGAGGGTCAAACTGAAAGTTCTTAGAACTGGCCACTTATAAACAATATAATAAAAAAATAATTCTAAAATTTGAAAATATAACTCTTTGCCAATATTACTGAGTATATATTTCATTCATTTGTCATTTGTTTTACGATTTGGCGGCAAATTGAAAATTGTCTGTGTCACGTCATCATGAATTTAACACGAGAAAATTTTCGTGCAATGATTTTTTATGACTTTCGATGTAATTTAAGTCAACAAGAAAGTTATGATAGACTACGATTGGCCTTTTACGATGAAGCCCCATCTCGTGCGACTGTTTACAACTGGTTTAATGAGTTTAAACGTGGTCGCACTAATCTCACTGATGATTTACGTGAGGGACGGCCTTCTACGGCGACGACTGAAGATAACATCTGTGTTGTGCGGCGTATGATAGAGACTGACAAAAGAGTGACCTATCAACAGATTCGGACAAGCTTAGGCATCGGTATGAGTCAAGTGCACAAAATCCTCCACGAACATTTAGCGGTCAGGAAGCTTTGCGCCCGGTGGATACCTCATAATTTGACTGAGGCTCAAAAACTCCATCGTGTGGATTGGTGTCGTAAAATGATTGAAAGATTTAACGGAGGTGACTCAAATGCTGTGTTCGACATACTAACAGGTGACGAAAGCTGGATTTACTGTTATGATCCTAAAACCAAAAGACAATCTGCTCAGTGGGTGTTTCCTTTCGAGGAGTTGCCAACTAAAGTGAAGAGAGATCGAAGTGCGGGAAAAAAAATGGTGGCCTCGTTCTTTGGAAGGATAGGTCATTTTGCAACAATTGTGTTAGAGGATCAAAAAACAGTTTCTGCAGAATGGTACACTACCAATTGTTTGCCACTTGTCTTGGAAAAAGTTCGAGAGAAACGACCTCGCAGTAGGATCCTCCTTCACCACGACAACGCCTCGTCGCACACCGCCAAGCGAACGATCGACTATTTGGCGACATCAAACGTTGAATTACTGGGTCACCCGTCGTATAGCCCCGACCTCGCGCCTTGTGATTTTTATTTATTTCCAAAAATTAAAGAAAAACTTAAAGGAAAGCGGTTTATGAATGCTGAAGAAGCGGTGGCTGCGTATCGCGATGCCATTGAAGAGACCCCTAAGGACGAGTGGGCAAAGTGCTTTTCCCAGTGGTTCCATCGCATGCAGCGGTGTATTGACGTGAATGGACAATATTTTGAAAAGATATAATAAAACTAATAACTGGCTAATGTAATCAGTTTTTGATTTTCTAAGAACTTTCAGTTTGACCCTCGTATATACTAGCTAGTTCATTAAAATACGCCAAAACTACATTTTCGGAAAATGACCTGGCATTTTTCATGTTTTTCCACTTCAATAAATTTTCATACGTGGTTATGTATCTGTCTTTGGATATTGACGGCAGCAAGCTGTCGCATGCGGTTCGCACTTATATCCGGTAGAGTTGAAGTATTATATCACTCTTCTTCATTATTGAAAGTTGTCATTTTTAGATATGCACAATACAGGTACAAAGAAAGAAAATTTGAGAAAAATGGCGCGAGGATTATTTTCTGCCGTAGGTGCGTGAAAATGTTGGCAAAGACGTTAGAGCATGCAGCCAAGTTTTTAAATTACCGAATAAACTATTTTTTTTATTTTAAATAAACTCAATCTGTGAATGTACACTGTTGCTTTCCCGCCATTTTAACAGCGCGCTAGCGCTGTCCGCTGCCCACTGGCGCCGCGTGGCGATTAGTTCGAAATTTGAATAGCAACAGCGCGCGAAATGGCAAATAATACTGTTATGGAATTTGTATGGACTATAACTTAACTATTTGCTTTGGTAACACACGCGTTTTTTATGACCCGCTTTACATATTTAAAACCGGTGGAATTACATCAGCTTTACGAGCAAAGGTGTTAAATAGTAAATTACGGTATTAGTGCGTTATAACCAATACGCACGTATATCGTACGAAGTGTTTTAACACATTTGCGAGGAAACAGAAAAAAAAAACAATAAATAAACTCAATCTGTGAATGTACACTGTTGCTTTCCCGCCATTTTAACAGCGCGCTAGCGCTGCCTACTGACTGGCATCGCGCGGCGATTAGTTCGAAATTTGAATAGCAACAGCGCGCGAAATAGCAAATAATACTGTTATGGAATTTGTATGGACTATAACTTAACTATTTGCTTTGGTAACACACGCGTTTTTTATGACCCGCTTTACATATTTATAACCGGTGGAATTACATCAGCTTTACGAGCAAAGATGTTAAAAAAACAATTTTCGATATATTCTCAACTTTGTTGTGCTCTGTTCTACTCTATTACATTACAAACATAAGTTAAAGGAGGACAGATTATGAAACAGTCCATTATTATATCGAATGTCAATTTTAAGACTAAAGAGTCCGCATATTTAATTTTTCCTAATTATATCAATCTTAAGTTTATTATTCAACCCTTAATAATGCCTCGTTAACGAGAAGCTACATAGAATTTTTTCGGCCACAGATCCGACCTTTGCGAAAGTTTCTGAACTTTCACATCGCAAATTGAACTCTCTATAGACGTCCTTAAATATACAATATATATTACTGTTTCCTTCCTAATAAAGTTAGTATAGATTTGTTTCGAATAAATGATTCATTCTTATTTATTTCTACACAGTTACGATGGCCGAATCAAACCCAATTCAGCTCACTGGGCAGACAACACGTTAGCCGGTCGAGCCAAGTGGCATTCCGTGCAGCCGTCAGCGCTACGAATACACGATGTTGTAGCCACAGACCGGGCGTTGTACCGCTGTCGAGTGGATTTCAAGATATCTCCGACGAGGAATCATAAGATTTTGCTCGACGTTATCGGTGAGTTAAAGTAGTTTTGTTTAATTTATTTGAAAAATTTTGTGATAGTGACAATTGCTCTTCAATTTGCAACACATGACGAAACACAAGGTGTCATAAACAAATCAAACAGTCACTATCAGGAAATTAACCATTTTTGGCTGGTTAATTACGTCAATTATCAACCAATGAGATTAGTCCGAAGAGATAGCTGGCACTCCACTCTGGACCCTGTAAGGGAGCTTAAAAGCTTAAATAGTTACAGCATTTTATTGAATTTTGAGAATGTAGTATTTCAAAACTCAAACAAAGACCGCAACTTTCTTCTATGTGGAATAGTTACTTTGAGCAGCATTTCCAAAAACAAATGTTTGTAAAATGTAAGTACTTTCTTCTTATATGGGAATAATTGTACAGGTCTTACATGATAGCCAATAACTGGTTCATAAAACATTGTTTAAAATTATTATAAGATAATTGAAAATAAAAAAATACCTACTATCAAATAAATTAAGAAAGAACAGGAAAATAATTCCTTTTCTGGAGATATAAAAATAAAACGTATCAGTCAGTAATATGTCGGAAAGTGTATCACTTATGTATATATTTTAAGTAATGTATCGATTATTATTATATTTAAAGGGTTTTGTTTATTAATAAGATTAGAATATATTGGCGTTATAAAAAAAACTGTACAGTGGTATAGTTACGTTGGGCAGCATTTCCGAAAACGGTAAAACAAACATCTATTAATTATATCACGTAAAATACCTGAATAATTTTCATCTTTTTATCTTACACAATGATGAACTCCCATAATAACTATAATTCTCTTTTTCAAGTCTTTTACCATAAAAAAGTTACTTATGTCCTATCTCAAGACAACTCGGTTTTGCGGTTTAGATGTGAGAGCGTAACGGATATACTCGCTGGGTGCGAAGTAATAGGTGAGGGTAACGTTATCTATCGCAGCGCTCGCGGTGGCCAAAAGTAAAAACATTGCGAGCTTTGTCATCTTTCTTTGTTCTCTTTCCTCTAAATTAATCTCTAAATTAACTGGTAATTAAAATAAATGTTTTTTTATTCTTTATATGTATCTGTATAGGAATCGATAAATCAATAAATAAGCTGTGCTGAAATATATTTGTAAATTTTCTTAATGATAATTTTTTTTTATTAAACCAACATTAAATAACATAAATTTAAAGTAAAACAGCATTCTGATTGATTACTTTTGTTATTATTATTTTTATTTGTACAAGTATTTTCTAAATACAATGACTAAAAGTAATGTTTATGATTGCTTTTACCACTTAAGTACTTCAGGCGTTCTGTATTCAGCTGCAATCGAATAAGTGTTAAAATAAAAACTCAGTCGCGATTATGAGTTCCAACGGAGATTAATTACATACTTTAAAAAACAAAGTATGAACATTTTAATTTTATATCGTGAGCGTTACATACAAACCCTCAGAATAACAGAAAAATATATATATAATTTTGACTTATTGAATACTACAGAATAACTCTTTCCATAGTTCGTAGTGGACTCAAATTTAGAAATTTTGCTTATCTTTTTAATTAACCCCAAAATAGCAGAGAAAGAATTTCTTAAAATGCGCGAAGACACTTTTTTGAGCTCCTGATTTTAGTTACTATTACTAAACAAATGAAATAAAAAAAAATAGAATATCTCTTATATAGTTGTTTAGTTCATAGCGGTCTCAAAATTTTGATATAGCTAAATAATATATACTGGCTAAATATAGAAAAATAATAATCATTATAAATCAAAATGTTCGTAGCTAACTGTGAATTTCTCTTATTTACGATAATGTTGTTAAACAAAATATATACCAGAATAATAATTATTTCATAAAGAATACATATTTTATAATTTAAAGTATACATTTACTATCTTATTTCAACAAAAACCATAAACATAAACTCAAAATCACTACAAAATGCGATGCACCGGCCATCCGAGCTCAGTACCGCGCGAGCGCTCCTCAACGAGTGGAAAGTAAAAAACTTAAAATAATGAAAATAATCTTTTGAAATTTATCACGTCAGCTGCTATACAAAGATTATGAAGCTACTTATAGTGATATTATTTTGATCTAAGCAGCGTGTGTGCTAGCTATATAATCTATCTCTTAATTAAGTTCCTAATTCGATTCACGATACACTAAAAACAAGACAAAATGGAACTAAAATAAAAGAAATAAGTTGTATTATAGCTTGAATAAACAAATTCTCAAAGATTAGAATATTCTCTTAGATTTTAAATGTTCCACAGAACTGTTTTGGCTTAACTTGTCTCTTTTGTTATTAGTTCGGTCTTAGCAGTCGTGTTCTTTTTTTTAATTATTTATCTATATTTATTCCTTTAAGTGAAAAATTTGTTATGAATAGATATTATATATTTTAATGCACTGATCAAGATCTTTAATTTGATACCCATATTGCTATAATAAAACAAAAATACTTTTCACTGGGGATGATGTAACGTTTCTAATGATAAATAATCTATACATTCATATCCGTTATGTCTTACAATAGTTATGGTGGAATAAAAAAAATTAACTCTTAACACAATAGACTCCTTTTCTTGGGCAGTCGTGTCAAAATAACTCGGTTGTAGTTTCAACACATTTTTGTGGACCTTGAACATGTTGTGGAGAATTCGGGACGCTTAAAAATACCTACATAAATATCTTACAGGGTGCAAATTTGTAATAGGGCTCTTAAGTCTTAAATTATAACAGTCATCCAACCAGCTCACTCTGTAAAGCTAGCTGTCATAGTGCAAGCAGGCACTTGGAACGATCCATTTAAAATTTACAGCAGCCTATTTCGAATTCGCATCGGAAACTGCAGTTTTGCTGCACCAGTCCTGTCCTCTTAAAGATTCAGCAGACAGTTTCCTTTTATTTTCAACTAACTGTAACAGTGCAAGATTTTTGACATATTGGAGAGTCAATATAGGTATTGAGCTTGATAAGTTATTTTACTGCTAACAAAATTTGTTTCTGATTGAAATCTTAACACAAAATGTAATATTAAAACATTTGATCAAATTTGCATTCACAATGCTATGTTGAAGTCGACCAAGCAATTGTGGTTTAAAATGTTCTTAGTCTATTTATTGTGGTAACTCTCCGGTAATATTTTATTATATGATAAGCGACAAAGAATCGTTTAATTATGTCATACTACTAATATATAGCGACAGTAGATCTGTACGCACTAAGAATAAATTAACTTGAGATAGGAGATAGGTTGGTTTATATTGTGATAAAAAGGTTGAAATAGGGATTTAAATTTTGTATGGAAGATCGTCATTTTCAAATATAAAACATGAAACCTGATATTCAGTTATGAATTATATTTGTTTAAGAGTTTTTAGAAATGCTACCCAAAGTAATATTATACTACGCGGACGAAGTCGCAGGGGTAAAAGCTAGTGTTGAATAAAAGTACAGTTAAATCAAATTAAATGTTCAAAGTACAAAATTTTTCTTTCATGATGATTTGAGAAGTAAGTAAAATAGAATGACAATAAATGACGAATGTTTTATATTACTAAGTGTTTAGTTACCAATACAAAAAGGTTCCTGTATTTATTTTATGTTATATTATGTAATTACAGATATTCCTTTTATTACTGAAAATATTCAAAGTTATTATATCTGTTTCGATTTTAAAATTTGCAAGTTATTTTGTTGGTGTCTGCAATATGTAAGTACGCGCTATATAAATTACGGAGGCATAAATAACCGTATTCTAAACTTTATACGTCGTCAGCGCGTTTACATTAAACATTAAATAATTGTTGTTAGAAGTTTCGATTATTTAGGTGAATCGATTTATTGGCAATTTTCTTTTCATGTCTTCAAATAAAAAATGTATCTTGGACCGATGATGTAATTTCCTATACATTATATAAAAGATATTATATTTTGATCAATTTTGCATTCAGAATTTAGAGATGCTATACTGGAAAATAATCTTAATGCGTTTTAGTGAGAGTACCTGGGGTTGGTGGATTTTTTAAACATTTTTTCATTGAGATCATTTAAAAGTCATTGAAACTCTATGTAGCGGGCATTATGTCTGCATCTTTACCTCCGGGACTAACAACAATCTAATCTCTTTCTATATTCATAGAGTTGCTTTTGTGGGGTCCATAGAATGATGCAAATGGAATTTAATAAGGCTCTATTGTCTGTCTATCGGTATTTTTCACAGGACTATATATTTAACTCGCAATAGATCTTTGAAAATTATTGTAGTATTATTATCTTAGTACCACCACGTCATGTCATGTTTCATGTACAACGAAGAAGTAATAAATAAGTCAAACTTCTTTGATGCAGTACTTTACAATAGTACTGTGCCGTAGTCTATAAAAAGACCATTTTTCTCAGGTTGTTTTCCTTATAGGGTAAAAGCCGGATAGTTGCCTCAGACGGATACATGCCTCAGTTTCAAATGCTTTAAGTTAGATGTATAGACAGTGTTTTATTCATCATAATCAAAAGCGTCCCCAGCGAAGCCCTTAGTGCCGCATAAGCCGTTGAAGTAGACACACGTGTTTTGTCCGTGTGAATAAAAATCTTCCGCGGCGATACTTTGACGAACGTCAGAATTATATTGGTATGTAACCTCTGTTAAATATTTTTATAACTAATTGCGATTTCAGTAAAAAAATATATATCTTTGAATGCATTAGAGTTTAAATTGTACTGTTTATTACGTTTTATTGTTAAACATTTTTTATTTATTTCGTAAATAAATAGGGCAAGTATCCGTATCAAAATAGGGCAAGTATCCGTATTGTTTGTTGCCCTAGGGCAACTATCCGTAACTATACATTTAAACGAATAAAAGACAGATTTTTTCTTAGTTATTTTTTTTATTTGAATTTACTATTTTTTCTTGTTGATTTTTTTATTTGGTTTTTACTATAGTTTATCTTAAATAATATAAATACTCAACAGCAAAATGCCTCGCAAGTATAAATGAAAGCAAGGTTTTGTGCCGCGCCACATCAATTGGACAGAAGATAGTTTAGCACTTGCGTTCGAAGAGCTAAATAAAAAACAAAAAATATCAAAGAAATATCCCGGATTTATGGCATATCCTCTAGAACTTTAAGAAGACGGTATGAAAAGAGAAACCAGCTACTGGTAACAAAAGGTAAATCAAGGTTTTAAAATTGTATATTTAGCTTATGAATAAAATAATCTATTTACATACTACTTCCTACTCAACTAATTATATTTTTAACACTTCTAGGAAAATACCCTGTCCTTGGCTTTGATAATGAAAAAAGATTAGTATCTCATATACTAAAGCTCGGAGACGCAGGATTTCCACCTAAAAGGAGTAAAATACGCCAATTAGCCGAAAACCTAGGACTGAAGCACAATTTTTATAATGAAACTAAAATATCTGAACCGCAATGGTTGAAAAGCTTCCTTGAAAGAAATCCCGAAATGGTTATGACGCAAGCTCAAGGCAAAGAGCGAAGGGTCTAAGCAGGGCCAAAGTAGTCATTTTTTTAATCTGCTCATAGCCGTGATAATACTCAATAAAAGATTGTATACAATAATAAAAACTGGTTACTTAAATTAACATAAGTTTGTTTCTATTTGAATAAAAACAGACAAGAATATATCCTTACATTTTTAACGTTAGGCTATAATCCGCCATAGTAGGCAACTATCCCCTTTTTAGAGGTCACGTAAAACAGGATTTATTCAAACCTAAAAATATTTATATTTGAAAAAAGAGGACTAAGAAGATTAATAAACTTGGTTTAAGAAGATGAATACACTTTGATAAAAAAATGATTTGGTACCCATTTTTAATAAAAAAGCTTTTTTAAATAGTGTGGCAGCTATCCGGCTTTTACCCTACTATATTTGGCTTATCGCCAATTCTTGTTTTATTGTCACGGTAATTCTTTGATTTAATTATACTTTGATAAAAATAAAACAAAAATTAATTAGAACAAGTGTTTTTAATCATTAACGAAATTTGTTATACTTGTATTTTGTACCTATTATAAAAATATTATAATATATATTGTAATGTTTAATCCCTCAATATAAAAAAAAGGACACTGGTTGAAAAAAGCCTAAGGCTATTAATATTGTGTAGTGACTTATAAAGTTTTATTACCATGACTATTTTTTTTGTATGCTGATAAACAATAAGCTGGCATTGTTTCTATGTTATGAAAACGCTCTTAGATTGCTATAAACACGAATGACGACATCTTATAATAAGTCTCCAAGTAATATTATATTTTGGATGGCAACGAAACGAAAACCAATATCCATTGTTTCTGATTCAATAACATCAACTGTCGAATATAAAACGCCTCATCTTAAAAACTGGCCAAGGGAAAGAAAGTTTTCACGACATTATTGTTCCGTATATTTCAACAGCAGCAAAGAAATCTAAGTAATTAATTAATTGTTGCTTTGGCAATTCAAAATCATTTCGGAATTGATTATTAAACAAAAGTAATAACATATATCTATCTTTGAATTATGTAGGTCGAGTGTACGCAGCTGGTAACATTTGTATCAATAATCGAGCCATAATAATTACTTGAGTAAAAATTATAACCAAAGAAAATATTTTAACACATAAACAAGACTTTGAATGAATTAAAAACTCTAAAAAGATAAAATACTATTATTATTTGATTTTAGAATTTCTCGTCTACTGATTAAGACCCAAGATTTGGCTGTATGGCTTAGTTCCTTCGCCTGTCCCATGGACGAATTATAATACTACTACTACTACTGATTAAGATTTTCTTAAATTATTTTTTTGCTTAAATGATTGCATCTACGCGTATATCATCCGGATTCTGAATTGAGAATTTAAAGTCAAGAACGTCTCAATCCGTACTTAAACCATCTACGTCACTTAAACTAATATCCGTTTTTTATTTTAATTATTTTTAATGTTGAGTTAATAGTAGTTTGATAAAACAAGGAATTTTTGCCATATGAAACGTAAACAACTTAAGTTATTGAGGATAATTAGTTGGGATTTTGAACTTTACTCAATTCAGAAACTGGCCGTATAGACACGAGGCTAGTGTCCGCATAAGTAGTAATTACTTATATTTTGTAGACACGGGAGCGACGTCCCCATAAATACGGACATAGGATGAGAAACTCGATTTCTTTTGTCATTCTCTTATTTTGTTTGAAGATTGAACGTTGAACCTCAATTAAGTATTTGATTTATACATAAACAATAAAATAATGCAATTTTTGTAAACAAACTATTGCACAGATAATAAATAACTTTATGGAGTTATTTATATATTTTATTTCAAATAATATGTAAGAGTTATATGATAGTTCTTTTTTAGATAAATATGCATAGCTAAAACCTGTCACATTGATCATGGCTTAGGTTACAGATATTAATAAATATTATACCCCATATATAAAATATATTCAATACACGCTATTGCGATTGAAATTTCACTTTATCTCACCTTCCCGTGTATAAAGTTAATAGTCAATAGAATAGAATTTGATCAAAATTTTAGACGAAGGACTGAAGGACAAACCTACCAACCATCGTTTTGCCAATTCCATTATGAAACCCTGAAAATCACAATGTCAACGATAAGATTGCTTCGGGTCCAAAGTAATTTTGTATCCGGGACGTCTTTGGAAGCCTTTTATTTTAGCAATATACGGTCCAGGGAAAAAGTTTAATGTAGGGTAACTCAATTATGGTAAGTCCCCACCGTGCGTGCCCCAAATTTATCACGGGACTCATTTCGAGTGGAAGTTCAATTTCACTCGAACATCTTTTGGCTTCACCTGGCATTTTGTTCACTTGGTATCCTTAAGTTGTGTCACATAAACTTAATGGAATCAATGAAACAAAATAGTTATATCATAAGTATGTTACAAATATTTTGAGGTATATTCCTATTTTGCTATTTCTCATACATCGACAACTCACTCACTCTGCCGCTATGATCTATGATCGGGCACGTTCATTTAGCTTCTAAATGAGCGTTAGTTGCATAACAAATAAATTTTATTATTACTAATGTAATTCTACATAGTAATGTTTGATTCTATTGAACTGTTAATATTAAACAGTTTATGGAATCACACGTTAAAACATTTACTGAAATATTCTTAGCTCAATCTTTTTTTTGTAAGAGAATATATTTTTTCCATCTTTTCATATTGATATGAAATGAAAATATATTTATTCAAGTAGTAATTTTTTTTCCCCTGCCACCTGTTCAGGATGTCTTTTAGCTGACAAGAAGAACAAGTAAAAGAAACTTACCAGCTCTTTATCATAAGTAATGACATTTACATAAATCATGTCATTACCAAAATAATATGTATAATAATATGTAATAATATTGTGATAACAATAATAAATACAACTTTCAAAGGCTGTAGATCATAGGTTGTACATATAATTAGTCGTTATAGAACAAAGCGAAGGCTATTAATTCCATGCATTGCGATCCTTAAAATAATCATCAACTTTATAATAGCCTTTACTCATAAGCATATTTTTGACATGAATTTTAAATATATTTATGGGTAGGTCAATTACATTTTGTGGAACTTTATTGAACTTAGCAATGCATTGACCCAGAAATGATCCTCTGGTTTTCTGAAGTCTGAAGCTTGGAACGGCAAGTTTAGTTTTAACGGCAAGTTTAAGATTATGAACACTATTTTTTTGTTAAGGAATCGTAATCTTTTCTTGCGTACTTTCATATATGTATTGAGAGGCAACAGTCAAAGTATTTATTTCTTTAAATATTTCTCTGAGAGATTCTCTAAACCGTAAATTATATATAGTGCGGAGCTCTCTTTTATAGTATACAAAAATATCTTGAATGCTAGCCGCAGAATCCCACAACAATAAACCATACGTCATTCATTTCACTATGAAAATAACTAAAATATACCAATGTTGCCCAACATTTGTCAATTAAGTGAATTTTTCCTCACACCATAATGCTCTAATTTCCCAAACAATGTTTCATGACTAACGCAGCCGAATGTTTTTGACAGATCGCAAAAAATGCCGATAGCATCTTGTTTACTCTCCCAAACATCGTAGATATGTCTCAGAAGTGCAATTTCAGCGTCTGTGGTACATTTAAGTATGCAAAAACCAAACTGATTTTTGTGAAGTAATTTATTTAACGAAAAGTGTGCAAGCAGTTGATTATAAATTATTTTCTCAAATACTTTACTTGCGCGTTAGTAGTATAGATATTCTGGGATTAGACTTGTCGCCTGCCTTGAAAAGTGGGATTATTTTACCATATTTCATTAAATCAGGAAAAGTTCCTTCATCAATGCATTTATTAAAAATAAACGTTACTTGAGGCGCTATAGATGGATGGATATTATATATAATAGATTTGATAACATAAGTTGAAACGCCCCAAAAGTCTTCGGTTTTTTTGACATTAATAGAATTGAATGTTTTAATAATACAATAATAGATGTCGTTAACATGTCTTAAAAAAAATCAGTACACTTATCAACAACTAACTCTAGATCAGTAACTGCAAGCCTAAAACCTGAACTAAGATTTCTAGTGATTTCTATTGGTGTCTTAGAAAAAAAAATTCTCAAATGCCCGATACATTTAATACAACCGCTTCATCTGTTTTAATAACTTTATTGTCAGCCTCTAATGAGTATGTGCGCATATTACATTTATTTTTCCCCATTTCTTGATTTATGATAGTCCAGGTTGTTTTTATTTTATTTTCTGAATTGTAAATTTTTTCAGACATATAATTTGCTTTTGCTATAACACATACCTTCCTAAAATTTTTTGAATAATTTCTGACATATTCAATTTACTTTGGATCAGTTGAGGTACACTTTAGCCCATACAAATCAAACTGCCTATTTCGACTTTTGTAGATGCCAGGTGTAGCACAATCACTAAATTTCTTCTTTTGATTACTTAAGTTTATTGTTTAGAGTTTAAATGTTTTGTCAAATTCTTCCTTTATAAAGTTAAAAAAAATATTATAGACATCAATTTATTATAGAAATATTATTAAATTATTATAGACATATTGCCATGCCTATCGAGGTGTATGTGGATATAATTAATTGAAATTTGTGTATGTAGTTTCTAACGGCCGGTTTTTAATTGAGAAAAGCACAAAAAGTTTTTTACATTTCATGTGGCAAAAAGTCCTAGTTTTATCAAACTGTTATCAACTGATCATTAAAAAATTATAAATCAGTAATGAAAACTTGTTTAATTGACGTTTAAATGGCTTAAGCACGGTTTGAGACATACTCACCTTCAAATTCTTAATTCAGAAACCGGGTGTTAGTCACAATTTCATGAATAAATAAATAAATATTTTGGTATACAGGAATTTCATAATTTGCCGTTAAGCATACTTTTAATACTTTTTTTTTAAGTTTTCTTTCCTTTGAGTATTTTAAGAATGTATACTCTATCTATATTTACAATAAGTAAACCGATCGGGCTTATTTATCTAAAACCTTCCGCTTAATTAATGAGTTAAATTATGTTTGCAATGTTTCAACTCTGGAGGAAGTTAATTTAGTCGGGTAGTTTCATGGACTGTTCATAACTTAATTAGTTACATGCTTAATCACTTTGGAAAATTTATATTCCGCTAACTTGGGCTATGTTCTTTTGATGTATTAACGTCCTAAAATACTACCTCGTAATTGAAAATATTAAAGGTTTAATATTAATCAAAAGTTATGGTCGATGTTATAAGATTGTATTCATTACACAACTTATAATTATAAAGTTAACTAAAAAGTTTGTTTGTTTGAAGGCGTTGTGAAACTACTAACGCACGGCTTCAATTATACTCGTACATATTTTACAGATATTCTATTTTAGCTCTTTAATAAGGAACCGTGTTATCGGTATTCTCATAAGATATCATTCTCAGAGATACGAGTAGCAAGATCTCTTGAAATACCATCATCTTCTTAAACTCACATTGAGAACTTTATTACCATGAAGATATACGTAATAAACCATTTTTATTTTCTTATCATCGTCATGCGCCATCAAAAGATAGATTTAAAATACAAATTATTTAGAAAATGGAATTTATAATATTGTAGATTTACGTGGGTATGATTAATATTGATAGATAATAGACGCCCACTTTCATAGTCACAAGTCTAAAATTACCTACACCATACCTACAGCAGCAGTTATTTCTCTACTTTTCATATTTTAGAATCCATTATTATCATGAAAAATTAAATTTCTCAATAGCCAGCAAATTAGTTAAAGAATTTAAGAAACTTATTCAATTTTAACTTAACATTGTAAAGAAGAAGAAGATGGGAAAATATTGTTCACCTTTCCCAAACAATAAAAAATCTAAGATTATTAGTAACTGGAATAAAACTGACTATCTTAGATTTTAGCAGTTTAAAAGATAGTAGTTAAAAGATCTTAGCTTACCGACAGAGAGAAGCGACATTGTTTAAAACTATGGATAGATATTCATGAAACTAATACGTACTAGTTTCTTATATTTTCACGTGCACTACTTATTAAATAACTAGCTGAAACCAAGTGGTCCGGGGGTATTGTGTGCACACTGGCCTGCTATACAAGAGTCTTAATCAATGAAGTCAATCTAAAAAACAAATCCAACCAGTAGAGATTAGCGAGTTCAAACATAAAAATAAAAACTCTTCAGCTTTATTACTAGTATATAAAATACTTTTAAACCGTTTCATTGCATGTATTTTTGAAGAATCATTAGGTACATAATTAGGCTCCATTTAAATATTTCGGTTTTTTACAAGTTAACTAGACAAAAATTTTATGTAGTATTTATTCCAAAATAAACAAAATAACACCGTTAAAAGAAGTTTTATTTAAACTAATATATTTTGGTGGGCATGAATATTCAATAACACCTCGAAAACCCTTTTTGTCAAACTAATCATCACACAATATCAGGCCCACATAAAACATAAATTTAACTTTCCAAACATATAAAACAATTTCATCATATAAAATTCCCTACGCGGTACAGTTCTCATCAAAATTAATTAACTTCATGAATCTAGTACCAGACGACCGTCGAAACTAAGCCCGAAATGACCTTCTAAAACATTATCAACTGAATTAAAGTTGGGATTTGTGAAGTAGAAAGGGCTCGGTTATAACTTTGTGTACCAGTACAATTGCTTTGAGCACTATTAAAATTTATAGTAAAATGTAAGTTTGAATGAATTATTAATAGTACACCAAAACGACACTTATAAAATAAAGTTCTTTAACGATGAAAGTTCTATGAAAATATGTTTGGTATTTTTTTTATTCATTGCATCTTTACACACAGACATGTAACGCGGCGAGAGATTTTTGTTTAATTTTTAAGCAATAATTTTAAATTTGCAGTTTGGATTAAACAATGAAATTATTTTCCATTAATTATGATAAGTAATGGAAAGTAATTTCATCGTTTTATAAAATTGTTTTTCAAGGTAATCTATCTGTATGCAATAAAACAGCTGTGCCAGTTCTTCTCAGTATAAACTCTTCCATTGTAGATAACCTAAATTGACCAAATGATACTTTAAGAGTTTGACTTTCAATATTCGTGTTTATGGCTATAGATTTTAAAGACAAGATTCCTAACGAATTAATTACTGGACCACCATTCCTCAAGTTAGTAACAAATACTATCAGTAAAACTTTATTCGTATTAAATTCAAAAAAGCTTCATCTGAAATTTCATTAAATATGACAGCAATAGTATGGTATATACATTGAATCTTTAATGCATTGCTGGGTTTTGTGTAAGTACGTTGCACGCTACGTCAATCCTATGGCGGCAATTTTCTAGCAATTCAGATAAACGAATTTTGTTTACCGTCGATGTTTGCAACATTCTATTCCATTAAAGTTAGTAAAATTACTGGAAAAAAAATATTTCATTGAATAATGGAATGTTTCACGATAGAATCGTTTAAAAATTACTTTAAAATAACGAATATACGTAAGATTGATGTATGTGTCGTGGCCATATTGTAAAATGATCATTTCATGACCCGGCCGGTTATTTCATGAAATGGCCACCTAAAATTGATCATATTCGTTTAATCATCAACGGTTAATGATATGACAACTTTTGGTCATATCATTAATGTTGTTTATCCAAAAATGAAAATTAATTATTTGCTGAAATAGCTTGTAAGCGTTATGATTTTGCGATCAGAAAGAATAACCTCGAAATTTAATACGATCTTTCTATCCTATCACGTGACCTACAGTAGTGTCATATTGGATTTAGTTATCCAATATAATTTTATATTCTCCAATATATTTTTATCATCTGTTGGAGCTAGAGCAAAATAGTGTCTTTATCATAATCTTGCGACAAATCCATAAAACTATAGAATATCCTTTGCCACCGCACCTTCGCACTACACTCCTATCATAATCTCACAAAACTTAATTAAGTAATTGGTTTCCATTGCTTGGTCACCCTACTTTCTTTAATTTGTTATATAGCCTAAAAATGAAAATACATCATGTACCAGAAAAACAATGCGACATCAATGTCTCTTACAGAGACTATGTAACTATTTAATGATATGATTACTTATGTTTGGCCACATCATGAAAGCCACATCAAGTCATACGATCAGCTGCCTATATCATTAATCTGGCCATAATTATTCATTCATAATTATTCATTAATCTGGCCGGGCCACAACATGATGAGGGCAGAAAGTTTTTTTCATTTCATGCAATGGCCGACCGCATCATGAATTGGTCAATTCTACAATCTGGCCAAGACATATGCAAACAATAATCTTGTTCAATAATTTGACAATGCTATTAACAAATTGCGATATGCGTCTTAAGGAGAAGGAAAATCCTGATGTGCTGGAAAATATAATAAACAACAAAAAACCTGATAAAAATGTATTGTTTTATTCCATTAATTTAAAAGTATTTAAATGATTCTGAATATCATTAATACTGATATCACGTAATTCTCTCGAAATAAATTATCTGAAATTGGTGTTCTATTTTAATTATAATTAAGGGTGATTATATGAAATTTGGTTAAATTCTAACGTTATTTTAATTCAAAATCATAACCGTATATATTCTATGCTGTGGGTATAACATCTGCTTTGCTACATCTAAAAGGGCCAGTCACTTTGTTTAATATTTTTAGAGAAATTTATGATATTTTTAAATCAGTGTTCTAGGGACTGACGGGACGTGATAGGGACTGACGTTAAACACGTTTATTGTGTCAAATCGATATTTCATTGCAAAATCAACTATAACAACAGATTATCCCTTGAGTGCACAAATATTATGGACTATAATCACTGGATTTGTTTTAATAATTATGCACATGAATATAATATATCAATATTTCTTAAAAGTCAAATTATACTTTGAGTTTAATACTTAAAAACTAATAGTCTCTAAGTTATTAACAATTACTTTAAATAATCAGCCTTCTAAAGTCCTAAGTGACTAAATTATAATTTGAACACAATATTCAGATATTCATTAATACTCGAATTATAAGATCACAAGTGTTTTAAAGTAAAACAACCTAGTACCTCGTATTTATTTTTATCACTATATGTTTCAGTTCTCGTAAATACTTACGGGTTTTTTAAGTTTGTATAATATTGTATTTCTCTTGACGATTAAGTTATGAACTGGCAATTTTTCTATACCAACTACGTAAGGCACGTCGACGATATCATTATCAATAATTTTAAATTCTGTGCCATCTTCAATGCAAAATTTAAGGAATGTAATTGTTAGTTCTTAATCTTCATCATCATATTTTGAGCAAAATGTGGCGTATCGGTATTATTTTCCCCTCATTTTAACTTAAATAGAACATAATCTCCACTGCCTTAGCACGTTTTGGACTTTTCTGGCGTAATGTAGCCCATACTTACTAAAAGTATATTATCGTAGATGTGCTAGTCACTAATACGACTAGGGCCTGACAGTCTAAGAGCTGACGAAATGAAAATCAAAACAAAATAATAAGGCAGACCAAACTCAAATTTGCAAGAAATAATGAGATCAATTGGTAATTAATTATTTTTAAAACGACTAAACAAGAGCCTGAGAGTTTGACTGGCATAGCACGTGTTTCCGCAGCTAAGTCGGCGACCGCACTGATGACGAAATGATTTGGGTTGTGTTTGTAACTAACTTCACACTGATGATATCGTATGGCATATGCTTGGATGCCGCGTATTTTCGAATGTTGTAAATGACTAAGGCCTGATATTTTTTCTGCTTACACTTTTCGACTGCAAATAATGTGATAAAACAATTTTTTATTACAAAATACGAATTTAAATAGAGTTTCATCAAATTATTCTTATAGATTTATTACAGTGAAATAAAGACTAAATTCGGGAGATTGCCATATAAAATTGTAATTTTTTTTAAATAAAACATATTATGACGTATATCTAAATGAGTGACCATCGCTTAGTAGATTCAAATATTGGATAAAAAATTAATAAGATTGTGAAAATTGATGCTAACACCTAGTTTTAGATAATCACGTTTACATCAATTATATAAAAACTATATATACGTACCAAATCGCAATTTGGCTAGTCAGCATACAGTGAGATTTGAATTCAAAAGCACTACGCGGTTGTCAAATTGCGGTTGGAGGTAATGGCTTTTAAAATTACATTAATTTAATGCAACTAACAAAAGCGTGGTTGTTTCATAGAAGTAGCAATGAGTGGTAAATTTTATAGCTCATCTGGATTTAACTAGGGCGTGGAATATTGTGTTTTTGTTTTTTTTTTACTAACAACTTTATTACTTTTTATATATAAGAGAACATATTAAATTTAAAATTTTCTCGAACCGATAGATTGTTTTTATGAAATAAATAGCTGTGAGAGTGTTAATTAGAGTCCCCCCTTTATGGCAGTAGTTTTTCTGTCATATTAGTACGCAGAACAGTGAATGGCATAAATTTAATTTCGCATACACTTTATAGCCGATTGATCATTATGTTAAAAAATAATTGTTGTAGATTATGCCAAATAGCTTTTTTAATTTTATCAGATAGAAGGTAATTATGCTCATTTACATTGGCCGACTGTGCCCGAATGGTGAGTGTGGGCTATTTCATTGGGATCTTTTCATTGGTTGATAAAGTAGTAATTGACATGCGGAAAAATAAACTAACTGATTACTAGACGTTCAAGACACAATTTAGGGTGGGTGCAAACCTGACGAATTATCCGTCGAGTTTATGAATAGATATCTGCGTTAGTAAAGCTCGATTAACTGACGGATCATCCGTCGAGTGTGCCAGGTTGAATGAGTGGTTTAATGTATCTTAATATGTATCAGTTCTGACGTTCCGCGATGGATTATATGTGACAAACCTTCTGTGAGATATGCACCGACCTTTAGCAATAGAATTAATGAATTTGTCTTGGAAAATTATTTAATCAGAAAATTAACTAAATTACTTTTTTCAGAATTACCAGAAAAACCAAAAATATTCGATGAGCTTGATAAAGAAGTTGTAGGCGTCGCTGGACCCTACGTTGAAGATAGAAGTTTGAAACTAACCTGCGTTGTAAGTGGAGGTAAAACTAGTTAACTACATACTTTAGTATCTTCCTATTTTAGTACTAACCTACTTTAGTATCAACCTTTTTAGTACTTCATGTCTAGGACCAAATCTTGAACAAACATGTCTAGAACAAACTTGTTCTTAGGTTTAGTAGTATTCGTGAAGCGTAATGTTAATGTAACGTTTGAAATATTAACATACAATTCTTTAATGTAGGCCTTTTATTTAATGGGCAATTTATGTGCTGAAAGTTTGGGTCCGCATGTGGTGTGCGAGTAACCTCAACTGCTGTGAAATTCTATTAAAAATACAGCCTTTACAACATGTTTTTAAAGTATTAGAGGTTCGATCAAATAAATGGGTGATTCTCGAAAACTTGTCCGTAATAATTAACGTTGACTAATATTTTTTTTAATTTTAAAATCTGTATGGAATCTGATAGTGCCATGATAATGGTAATGATAATGATATCCCGATACTCAACAGAGTAGACAGACCTATTCCTAACTACTATAAAAATTTAAATCTATTTATATATTTTAGTCAATAATGAATGTCAATTTCCAAGCTATGTTACTTTTTATTTGACAAACCCAAAAAAAGACACTCAAAAGCTTTGATATCCTACTTTGATTATATACTTGTCATATAAGTAAAGGAGATCCTGTTATACATGATTAAGAAAATATACCATTTTGAGGTTCTATAAAAAGTTTAATAGTATTTTTCGGTAAGAAATATTTCATATACACTTTCGGTATTTGCTTTTCGTTTCTATAAAAAGTGGAGTTCTCATTACTGGAGGAAAGTCATATATTATGTATTTCCATTTTGTCGTCGGCATGTTCCGAAAATAATATTTTGCGGTCGTATGATAACTGTTTTAATTATTTTGTGTTATCGTGAGCTAAATTTTAGTACTGGTTAGGTCCGATTTTATTTAGAAATATTTAATGACCTACTTTACCGAACACACTAAGATTATAATAGCACATTTCAATTAGATTTTGGCTCATTTTATTTGTTGGTTATTATTTATCGACCAATGAAAACTATCCCAAAGAAATCGATTATTTAAAACGAGCCGTTAATTACGATATTGTCATAGATCTTAAGCAATACTTCATAAGCTATCTTCTTCTTTGACTTTTTACTTTCTTCTTATTCTTGCGTTTATTGTTTTTAACCACAGGAAACCCCTTACCAAGATTAAGATGGTGGCGAGACGACAGAGTGATCGAAACTCAAATGCCAATTGATGACGGGTCGGGAATAAGTTCGCTCGCACTCCGAATAATGAAGCTTAGTAGAGACTACTTCGAGGCCGTTTACACGTGCACAGCTGACAACACATTGCTAGTACCTCCTTTGAGAGTCAACGTACAGATTCAACTGTATCGTAAGTATAATTTACATTAATCAAAAGAATAACGTATATGTAACAATAAATTTAATTAAAAGATAATTTTTGGTAATTACCTAAGTTGTGTAAAAGGTACTTAATCATATATTAATCTTAAAACACTTGAAAAAAAATTGTGTGTGACTGCACTAAACGCTAAGTTACCGAACACCGACAAATTTCTTAAGCACTTAATAAAAACGAGATACTTGGTAGTAGTCCCATAAAAATTGTAACTGAGATTCTTAAGCACGTGACTATTAGTATATTATTACCAGAAGTCGGAATTAGGTAGAGTTATTTATGTACTTGCATCGAAATGTTGATATTAATGTGGACCTTCCCGGGATTTCTATTGGACAATCTTGGACATCTTTGGACATCCGATGTCATTGATGTAAGTATGGCAACGTCGTGCGTGCAGTAGTTTAAATCGTGTAAAAGTAAATAACTTTTTATTTAAAAAATCAAGGGATTTTTTTTCTGCTCTTTAAAATTAATCTCGGGATTTGAGGCATATCCACTTTATTCTTTCGCTGTATGAAATCAGTGTAAGTACATGAATAACTATACCTAATTCCGACCACTGATTATTACAAACAACAGGTTAGCAGTAGCTCACCTTTCTATCGACTCAAAACACAGTTAAATAGGCAAACAACTTGGGAAAATCATTACGCGATATAATCGTATATTTTTCTGAAGTAATATTTTGTTACAGCTGATAAGTAGAAAGAGCAGAGCTACGAAACTTTCTCTTAACTCCCATGTACACGTAGGTCCTGAATGAAACCATGTACCGTTAAAACAAATAACACGTAAACCATGATGATTAACAGCAGTAAAATAATTATATTAAATAGGATATTCTTAAAGAAAAAATCTTAAAAATTCAATGCTTAAAATGCCTCTGATTATCTGGATTGCTTGAAGATTGTTAAAAATACGCTCTACAAAGCGTATTTTTTAGCGAAAAACTAACGGGTGCTTGAAAAATTCGACAGTCCTGTTGGGTGTGGGATACTTCAGCGGTTAGAACAGTCGGTTAGAATTGCGGTTTGAGTCCCATCTCAGAGTGCCAGGGACAAAGTGGGTTTTTCAAGCAATTCTTTAAGAATATTTTTCAACATATCAAATATGATAATTAAATAGGATACTTTTTATTTTGATGTATTCTACATATATCCACTCTGTACGGGTCAACGTACATTATTTGCCTCGAAAGCAATATATAACATCGCGACCCACTTTGGGCGCTTGCACATATTATTATAATTTTCAGTTCAATAAAGTAACTCCGTGGTATTGGTTGAGAGTATCATTTTTATTGCATTCTTTTTGACACCTTCTGACATTATCTTATCAATACTACCTGACATCTGAAATCATTTACTGGACGAGAGTAACAACTCGTACATGTTGGTCCTTCGATAATTTAATCCTTTTGTGAATTTTGTATCTCAAAGTGCGATTAGCGCATCGGCTTAGCTGGCCTCCCACAAGCGGGTCTCACCGGTTAAGTTGAGACGAGCGGATCATATCTTGCAAGGAGTGCAGAACCACTGAAGGAAATCAGCATATGGAATTTTGACAGTTTTCTATGAAGCTTTTGTGAGCGAAATTTGAAGTGAATTCAAGTGTTACGTGACATTTTGGTGCATTTAATTGACATAGTTATATCAGCGAAAAACGGCACCACTTTGTGTGAAGATCAAAATTACTTACAAAGTCTGTTATACAATTTAATAATATTATTCCGTTTAAATCATTTCCGTGCAAAATGGAAAACCTTCTCGTTCGTCAAAGTGAGATAATCGAATCTATAAAGTCGATTCATAAGAATTTTAATAAGGATTCTGCAACAAGAAAGACGGAAGAGTACTTACAAAAGAGAGTACTCGCACTTGACAGTTTGTGGACAGAATTTGACAATAATCATACCCAACTTACATGTTCTGAATATGAGAAAACGAATGATTATTTTATAAAAAATATTTATGTGGATACAAAACATTTCTATGATACTGTTCGCAACGTGCTTATGAATTATTTTCCTGCTATGGGGGAACGTGCAGTAGCTCCGACTCCAGGGTTTAGCAAGGAAGTGGCACCGACAAATTCAGCAAGACATAATTTGTATGAATGGACAAATGAACAAAGGTCTAACTTCCGAGCATTATTGCGACAGATATACAATATTGATGCTGACAAAATAATAGAAAAGTGGGAATTGGAAGACGAACTAAGAAGTTTACAGACACGTTGGCAAAATATTGACAGATTACATTTAAAAATTGACAGCATCTCTAATGGTGAAGATAAAAAATATGAAGATGAGTATTCTGCTCATGAGAAGCGTTACCGTGACATTAAACGCCTTTTAAATAAAAAGATTTTGTCAACGGTGCATCAGTTCGAATCCACCCCAAAATTAGAAGTTCCGCCGTTCTATGGAGATTATACACAGTGGCCTACGTTTCTCGATTTATATAAAAGTGGTATTCATGACAACCCCACATTGACAAATGCTCAGAAAATGCAGCATCTAAAAGGCAAATTAAGAGGCGAAGCACAACGTCTCATTCAGCATTTAAATGTATCCGCAGATAATTACATTACAGCCTGGGAATTATTATACCATCGTTATAATAATATCCAACTGTTGTTTACGAAGCATATCGAAGTGTTTCTTAACCAACGCAGTGTCGACAAACAATCAGCATCCGAGCTCAAACGCCTTCATGACACGACAGTGGAGAGTATCCATGCTATTCACAATTTGGGTGTGGATACAGCCTCCTGGGATCCTCTTATTGTTCATCTGTTACTCAAAAAATTAGATCCTGTAACGAGAAGTGACTACAAAGAGTCACGAAAAACGCCACGTGAGCTGCCAGATTTTGAGGAATTTATTTCATTTTTGGAAACCAAATTTATAGCACTTGAGCCTATACAAAAAAAGGAAAGAGAGGACTATTCGTCGACGAAACAATCAACGTCATATAACAGCAAAGAAAAACCTATATACAATGGTAGAAAAATAACTTATGTGAAAACTATGAATGCTACAACCACTAAGCCACGATGTGTATTATGCAATCACAGTGATCATTATTTGTATCAATGCCGAAAAATCAATGACGCCAAACTGAAAGTAATAACCAGTAATAACATCTGTAAAAATTGTCTATATTTCCACGAGAGAAATATATGTCGATCAAATAAACGATGCAAGAATTGCAATGGATTGCACAATACATTATTGCATGACGCAGTAAATGACACAAAAATGATCGACCGCAATTCGAGTTTGAATCTGCAGCGTCAACATATTTCAAATAACGTGACAAATAAAGATGATGAAATTTTATTAGCTACAGTGCAAATTCAAGTACGTGCTCGAGATAATACCTACATAAAATTGAGAGCACTTTTAGATCAGGGTTCTCAAGTCACCCTTATAACCGAAAACGCAGCACAACGCCTCGGATTACCTCGTCAACATGTGAATGCGTCGGTGACAGGAGTCGGAGATTCGACGAAAAAGGGCAAAGGAAAAATTATATTAGATTGCAAGTCGATTTATGACAATTATAGTTTTACAGCGGAAGCTCTAATATTGACAAAACTGATTAATAATTTACCGCATACAAATTAAAAGAATTATTCCCATATAGAAAATATACAGCTCGCCGATCCGTGCTACAATATATCAAAAGAAATTGACATTTTGTTGAGTGCAAAAATTTATACCAATATAAAAATGAATGGATTAATTAAAGGATCTAATAACCAACCAATAGCTCAACAAACAAAATTAGGATGGATTTTGTCTGGACCAGTACAGACTCCGCTCCAATGCAATGTCGTGATCAATGATATAAGAGATATCACAGCATACTGGGAGATGGAAGAAATATCAAAAGATTCCATCACTATGACCAAAGCGGAGCAATTTTGTGAGGACTTATATGTCAACACCACGAGGCGTTTACCAGATGGAAGATACGAAATTCGTCTGCCATTAAAAAGTGACTTTGAACAGGAGCTCGGTCATTCAAAAGCTCGTGCTGCTGCTCAATTCAAGCAGTTAGAATCTCGTCTCAGCAGAAATCCAACTTTACGTGACAGTTATCACAAATTTATTCATGAGTATGAAGATTTGGGACACATGACAGAATGCATAGAATATAAACAACCTATGTGTTATCTGCCCCATCACGGAGTACATCGTGAGGAGTCTACAACTACAGCTCTTCGCGTGGTTTTTAACGCTTCATCACCAACATCTACAGGAAAGAGTCTTAATGATTTAATGGAGTGCGGTTCCAAACTGCAAAAGGACATACAAGACCTGTTACTCAGATGGCGTACTTACCAATATGTATACACCGCTGACTGTGAAAAGATGTATAGATGCATACTTCTACATCAAGATCAGCAGCATCTGCAAAAAATATTATGGAGAGATAACCCACAGGATAGACTTAAAGAATATCAACTATGCACCATTACGTATGGTATGAAAGCTGCACCATACTTAGCCATGCGCACAATGCAACAGTTAGCAAATGATGACAAAGATAAATATCCATTGGCGGCTGACATATTACAAAATCAATTTTACGTAGACGATTTACTAGGAGGACATCATACGATCTCTGAAGCAAAAGAAGTTCAACAGCAACTAATAAAAATGCTTCAAGGAGCAAAAATCAACTTAAGAAAATGGTCAAGTAATTGTACAGAGCTATTATCAACACTATCAGCTGATCAAATCAATCCGACAACAATGGACTTCAAAAATACAAACTCGACAAAGGCGCTCGGATTACGTTGGAGCCCCGCCACTGACATGTTTACTTTTCGTTCGATTGACAATGATAAAAACAAAAGTATGAAATGTACCAAGCGTCAACTTTGTCACAAATTTCAAAAATATTCGACCCCCTAGGCTGGTTATCACCACTTACAATAATAGCCAAATTATTATTCCAAAAAATTTGGTTAGTGACAATGGAGTGGGATGACGAAGTTCCAAATGACATTTTAAATGATTGGAATAGACTTCGTGAGGATTTAAAAAATATTGATCAATTCCAAATACCCAGATGGATTGGCAATGTGCAACAATCAATAGAAATACACGGATTTTGTGACGCATCTGAACGAGTTTACGCAGCGGCCGTCTACTTTAAATCCACAGATTATAATAATAAAACTACAGCGAGGTTGATGTGTTGTAAAACAAAACTTGCACCGCGAAAAGATACTATTACACTACCTCGATTAGAACTCTGCGGCGCATATTTACTATCAAAGTTAATGCATAAATTATTAAATGCATTACAACGGACTGATGTTCCCGTATATGGATGGACAGATTCCTTAGTCGTTCTTGGTTGGCTCCAAGGACACCCGTCACGTTGGAAAGCATTTGTGGCCAACCGTACGAAAGAAATCCTTAACATTATGCCGATTTCACACTGGGGACACGTGAGTTCAAATGACAACGCCGCTGACTGTGCAACACGAGGGTTAACTACAACACAATTAATGGAACATTCCCTTTGGTGGGAAGGACCTGCATTTATCAAGCATCCGATTATCAAAAATGACATTTACAAGGTTGACATGCCTCTGTCAAACGACCTCCGTACAAGTTAAACGTGTCAGTGTCAATACCCTTAATTAAAAGTAAAATAATTAAATACAGTTATAATCAACAACTA